AGCTTGTAAAAAACATTTGTTAACACTAAATCAGAATTTCAGCTTGCAATGCAGTTAGTATAGAGTTCAACCTATATTACATGTGTTAACAGTGTAACAGGACTTGATGGATTCTATGTACCCTAATCAAGGAAGCTTCAATAAAGGGTCAAATTGTTACCACTTGCAAAGTCTCTGTTCATCATCTATGGATACATGGCAATTCAGTGTCACAAAAGCAGTTAACAGAAGTTCAGGATACCTTTCTTTGATGGGTCCTGGACATCAAGAGCAAACTAGGATCAGATTCACCACAAATTCCAACTTTTATAATTTATACAAAAAAAATACACGAAAGCCATTTTATATTTTAAAAAAGGAGTCCAAATGAATGGCTGATCACTTCTCTCATTGCTGCCACTATCTAACTTGCCACCAGAGCTTTATTTACTTGAGGCTGTGATCTCAAAGGCTCAACAACCTAGCTACTACACTCACAATTCATGACATTTCCAGCTACATGCATGGATGGATCTTGACCAATTCAGTGGTACTATGATCCAACACATTCAAGTGTCAGTTATAGAGTCAGAGTCATAACAGCATGGAAACAGACCCTTCGGTCCAACCAGTCCATGTTAAACATAATCCCAAGCTAAACTAGTTCCACCTGCCTGCTCCTGGCCCATATCCCTCCAAGCCTTTCCTGTTCATATATCCATCCAAATGGATTTTAAACATTGTAATGGTACCCAGATCCACCATTTCATCAGAAAGTTCATTCCACACGCAAACCACCCTGTGTAAAAAATTTGCCTCGTGTATTTTTTAAAACCTCTCTCCACTCACTGTAAAAAGGTGTCCCCAGGTCTTGAGGCTCCCCATCTTAGGGAAAAGATAACTACCAACTCTACCTATACCTCTCATTATTTTATAAACTTCTACCAGGTCACCTCTCAACCTCCTATGCTCCAGTGAAAAAACTCCCAGCCTATCCAGCTTTTTCATAACTCAAACCTTCCATACCCAGCAACATCTGGTAAATCTCGTCGAACTCTCTCCAGCTTAATAACATCCTTTCCATAACAGGGCAACCAGAACTGGATACAGTTTTCAACAGCATGGCAATGAGGGCAGCCGCTTTCCCAAACAGTAAATCAGGAGTATGAACCTTCTTTCCGTTCGCTGCTACCCAGTACGACATGCTTCGGAGAGACAGGTATACCCCATGCCAGCTTGTAACTAGCAGGTTTTTCCAACTCACTTTCCTCCTCTTCTCACTGCTGCTTTGGCTGCACTGGAAGTGGCAGCAGCCAAAAGCTGCCAGAGAATCCGCTCCAGGTTTCAGGTTGTCACTTGCTTCCTTATTCAGTTTCTCATCTTCAGGGCTGAATGGAGCTGGATTGGCAACTGAAAACATCCTGCAGGGTAGCAGCAAGACTGGCCAGAAAATGGGTCCTTGATGCCTAAAGTCAGGTCCTCCCTCTCTCCCACGCTTGCTGTTCTTCCAATCATAGATGCTACCTCAAGATCAGCAGCAGCAACAGCAACAGCAACAGAGAGGGGGAACCAGTGATTGGAGGAACTAGGCAGCCAGTGTGTGATCAAATGAAAAATCAGTGAGTGAAGAAACAGCCTTTCAGATTATGTCTCTCCCATCACAACTCTATGGATTGTTTCCTTTTCTTATTGTTGAGCTCCATTTGGGCAATGGGATGGATGGAAATACATTTAAAATTATGGAATTCCAAAATACAAATGTAGGAAGTCTGTCAAATGCCAGAAACTTTATCCCTAATTAAAACAAATGGGGAATCATTACAGTGTAAGCATTATACTTGTCTTATTGATGTTGTGAAAAAAAAAACAAACAACCTTAAGTGCTTCAGTCATTGAGTTTCTGTAGGACTTCATTCAGAACATGTTGCTGTGGGGATGTCAATCGCATCAGAAGTGGTTAACATATTCTCTTCTGAATTCCAATTCCAGAGCTGAGTGTACTTAATGTAGTGCTCTACATTCCGTTGTCCCATGGTGAAACATTTCAATGACTTCTGAGCTTTAGGATCCTGAGTTTGCAGAGGCACCACTGCAAACAATATTACATACCTGAAGAGAAATTGTTTCCTCGCGAGTTTTACAAACGTTGAACGATGTCTCTGAAAATAGACGGTCAATCATTCCATTTCAAGAACATAAAGGTAATTAGGAATTGATGGGAACGTGGAATTTGAAGCACACAGTTCAGCAATGTCTTATTGAATGGATGACTGGAGGATGTGGGTACAACTGCAACTTTTAAAAGATATTTGGATAAGTGCATGAATAGGAAAGGTTTGAAGGGATATGGGCCAGGAGCAGGCAGCTGGGACTAGATTAGTTTGGGGATTAGGCTCAGCATGGACCTGTTGGTCTGAAGGGTCTGCTTCTGTGTTGCATGACTCTCTATACTGTATTAGATTAGTTAAATGCAATATTATTCTTTCGTCACTTGTTTCTTTCAATCTTTAGAACAACATGCTACAAATTCTGTAAAACTTGTTCAATTTATCTAGATTCCGGAGAGCCTTGACTCTCCAAGACTCCCTCCCACAATCTCTTTGGATCCTAAATCTCCTCTAACACTCCCACCAGAAGGGTACAGTAAAACCACCTCTATTTTGTATCAATAATGGAGATGATTTAAAGTTACCCTTTTTCTCCCTTGCAATGGGTACTTTGGGTCCTGCAGCTTGGTGGCTGGTGGCTTGGTGCTGACTCCTTGTTCCAGTGACCACTGTAGAGCTGCCTCTATTATTGGAAACGTTACCTTTGACAGGACCCACCTGCAGCAGAACAAATAGTAAGCAGGTTCAAACTTGTTATCTGCAGTGAAGCAACAAAACATCCCCACATCAGCGAGCAACTAATTGTTTCTCTGAAATATTACTTACTGCAAAAGAATACCAGTTGTGGAGATACACTGGCAAAAGAAAGTCAGACAACACCCAAGTCAACCATAATCTATTGCTCGCAGAATCATTTGTGGCACTGTAGCCCTGCCTTCTGAAATCATTACCTTTGTAGGAGCTGCGAATTTGGGTACACTGGGTGCCTTTTTCAGGAGCAGTTCTTGCTTCTTAGCCATTGATCTGGTCACTCTCAAATCTGAGGTCGAGGGCACTACACCCTAAATAAAAAATGAACAATGACAATTAGTATCTACGCTGATAAAGAACAATAAGTAGTGTCTCACATGTTAAACAACAATGCCTAAGGTACAAGGTCTATTCCATCGTTGAACGAGATTATGGCCAAACTTCTACATCAACTCCACTTTCCTATCCTAAACCAGTAGGAAGGTCCCAGGGTCTCAACCCAATTTAATTCATTGCACCCCATCAACATTAGCATCACCTCCTGTAACTTCACCAAAACTTTAGGGCATTGGCTACAAATTGAAGAAAAAACATTTATTGATGTCAAATTAAAAGGAAGCCTTTTTCTTTCCTTAATCATGCTTTCTTCAATGAAAATGGTTTCAAACATTGAGTCATTTTTTCACAACAACATTATAGATTCAGCAGGAAGCTGTTATCTCGAATAAACGTCTTCGCCATAATGAGTGGTCATCTGTGACCCAACCACTGCATTGTCCAATTATACAACTGCAGCCACAATCACCTGTCGCCATTCATCATATCCTCAATTAGTTTTCATCACTGTCAGAAATGGAGATTATATTATCACAAAGCCATTATAAACATTGTACCGGAGCTTTTGGTTTCATGATATTTTGTGATTGAAAGGGAGTCACATCCGGCTTGTAAATGCCAACTTTGAAGATTTGCTTAGGTTTCTCGCGCTCTGCCTTCAGTTTCCGCAGTATTTTCTCCTCCTTATAACGCCGTAACATCTCCAGTCGCGTCATCTGTGATGGAACTGCTGCCTCAGAAGATTCTGCAATTGTGAAGTATGACAGACATCCAAGTAATCAATTTTATGCCACTACCATATCCAAAATTGAGATGACACCTTCCAGCACAGCAGTAACCAATGACAGTAAGGAATGCACAGGAGAATGGATAAGACTTGCTATTTTCAGATATATCAAAATGGCCATAGAGACCAAATTGTCATAGACATGAAAGAAAAACCAAATACACTTGAACATCATTGGTAAGAGATAGTAGGAACTGCAGATGCTGGAGAATCTGAGATAACAAGGTGTAGAGCTGGATGAACACAGCAGGCCAAGCAGCATCAGAGGAGCAGGAAGGCTGACATTTCGGGCCTAGACCCTTCTTCAGAAATATCATTGGTAAATCAGGTAACATGCGGCTCTCCTCCATCCGCCACTCCTCCTCTCTCCTCCTCTCCCCCACTTCTCCCCTCCCCTCCCCTCCCCTCTCCCCCAAACCATCCTTTCTCATTTCCTCCTGCAGTCCGGCTAATACTCACTGGGCGGCCCAGGCTCCTCAGCCTCCACCTCCTGCAGGGCCATCAGCGGGAGGGTGTCGAAGCGTCGGCTCTTTCGGAGCTGGCGGTCGCGGTTCTCCTTCTGGCTGTGGGCCCGGCTTCGGGCTTGCTTCACCCTCAGCGCCTCCACTCCCCGCGCGGCCGCTGCCTTGTAGCGCTCGCTGAAGCGGTTCTGCCCCAGATCCATAGCGGGTCACCTCCTACGCTGCAGTCAGGCTGGATGGGGGGAAGATTAATAACAAAAAACCGAGACACTCCGGCAAGATCAAGCTGCGGCCCCGAGCCTCCAACGTTCAAAATAATCCGCGCACTCGTTGATTGGACCAGACTCCAGCGGCCGTTAATTTTAAATATTTATTAATAACATTTCCGATTGGTTACCCCGACGCCGGCGCCCGTGGGCGACGTCCAATCCAATCCCGGCTCTTGCCAGTTCCCCCATTCCCATTGGATGTCTTCACCAGCTGCACCCAACATCCAATCAAAGCCTACACCGCTGTCTGAGACGTCCGTTCACATTGGTTGATTTGAGAACGGACCGCAGGCGTAGGGCCCAATCCGTTCACGTCCTGAAACGGAGACCTTGTCCCATTGGCTGATTATGGCACGCTAACGTCACGAAAACAAAGGCGGTGTCCTAGCGAAAGGATATAAATTCTGATTGGTTGGATCAAGGCGGTTGATTTGATTTTTAAGGAGTTGTCTAGTACCTCAGAGAGAAGAATGTCTAGGCTTTACAGACATCCAAGTATTCCTATTGATATGTTTATATCCTTCCTTCTTATTTAAATAAGGCTTTATGTTGCATTATTGTTCCTCGTCCTTAGAGGTTGTCGACTTGCTTTTCTCTTGACGACGTTGGGGTAAGTAGTTATGGAGGTAGTTTGTTAGGACATAAACAGAAATTGCTGGAAAAGCTCAGCAGGTCTGGCAGCATATGACGGAAGAAGATCAGAGTTAACGTTTCGGGTCTGGCGACCCTTCCTCAGAACTGAGTTGTCAGTTGCTTTATTCTGTCAGTACTTGACACCTACTGGACCAGCTTCTCTTTTAAAAAAAAAAGTTTGATTGTGGGATCTATATTGACTCAGTACCATCCTTTACTCTTCAAATGGTACCATGATGTCTCATGTATACAGTTTCACCTGAGCAGGCACACGATGGTGTTGGGTTAAAGACTGATCTGAAAGACAGCATTTCTGACAATACCCTCCAAACCTCCCCAGCTCCACCCTCCACCCCAGCTCCACCCTCCACCCCACCTCCATTTATTTGCCAGCTCCCTTCCACCTCCACAGTTCTGATGAAGGCTCCCTTTTGGGAGAAGGGGCCTGACCCGAAATGTCAGCTTTCCTGCTCCTCTGACGCTGCTTGGCCTGCTGTGTTCATCCAACTCTACACCTTATGTGTTGATTTTCCTGCTGCTCTGATGCTGCCTGACTTGCTGTGTTCCTCCAGCTCCACACTTTACTGACTTGCTATCCCTGATATTTTCAGTCTTGCAATGTCATGTTAACCTGGATTATATTTTCAGCCTCTGGGAGTGTGGCAGAAACCAATAAACCTTCTGAATTCTGGATGAGCTTTTCAATATTTACAGACCTGTGACTGGGTGTCTCGGGTAACATTCTTCCCCAAAATCCAATATCACTGAAAGAAATCAGATGAACTAATCCATTGTCTCATTGCTGCTTGAGGGTTCTTTCTATGGGCGGTGAGGCAGCAGCAGTCGATGGCAAGAGCAAACCAGTGAGACAGTAACGGTTGGCGGCAAGAGCAGGCCAGTAAGGCGGCAATGGTGGCCTAATGAATGGAACGGCACCTGCACCATTGTGGAGATGGGACATGGCACTCTGAGATCTGGATTTTTTTTTTCTCTCACCTTTGGCTCTGTTAAGTCTTTTAATTCTGATTTTTGTAACCAAGTGGGTGCCAGTGAATGGTGACTTTTGCACTTTTTGCAGTACTTGTGTATTTGTATATTTAGTACATGTGACAAATAAATATATCTAAATGGTACGTGTATAGTCACAAATTCATTTTACAAGACCTAAAGGTACTTACAAGTATGCAAAGTCATTTGGGCCACCTTTGTTCATGGATCTAGAATGGCTCATCACTGCCTTTGGTTATTTCTTGCATGGTTGCATTTGTGATGCATGATCTATTGCCCACACCACTATGGATGGACATCCACTCCAAAAGGCTGATTGTAAGGTTTTTTTTGTTTATCTTTCTGAGCTACCTTGTCTTGCCAGTTGCTTGACAGCCTAACAGGTGACCAGATAATCAATACTGAGGAAGATTGCAACCAACTACAGGAGGCAAATCATTGACAAATTATCTACAGCACATAAGAGTATAAGTATATTTTGATAGGAAGAATGGGAATTTCATGTTAATTGAATGGTGCAAATCTATGTAGGGGCTTGAACAAATACCTCAATCACCACAAATTAGTATGCCGATGTAAATAAAACAAGTTCAATTTTATTTCCAGAGGATACAGTGGAAAAATAGACAAGTTTCCTACTAAACTTGCATTGGACCTTGGTTAGATCACAGTGAGACCACATGTAGTTCTGGCCACCATATCATAAAAATAATATAAAGGCACCAGAGAGGGTGTAGAGAAGTTTTACAAGAATGATAACTAGACAGATATGGGTATCATAAAAGGATTGTGAGGCTGAGTCATTTTTAGAAGAAAGACAGATAGGTGACCTACAAGAGAGCTTTTAAAATAATTCAAGGTTTTTTTTTTTAAATGAAACAGATACTCTTGAGAACCAGCACTGTTGGAAGCTATTGATTATAGGGTGGTTACCAATAAATCCAATTAGGGATTCAGGATCAACTTCTCCACCCACAAGTGTGGTGGGAACTTACTACCATTGTTGAGTGATTTAAGCAAATATTATAGATGTATTAAGGGTAGACTGGGCAAGCATTTGAAGGAGAAGGGTACAAGAGGGATATGAGTGGGGATTCAGATATGGATTAATGGGAGGAGGATTGAGTGGAGCATAGACACTGGAATGGACTGAATGGGACAAATGGCTTGTTTTTGTGCTTTATATCTTATAATAAGCCTATCCTACTTGAAGTACGCCCTACCTGTGATGGGACTGGTACACTATGTTGGAACACACCTTGTAATGCCTGTAGGCTGGCAGAGCCCTGTGCTGGGATTGCAGCTTGGAAGTAGTCTAGCTGTAGGTCTGCAGAGTATGCAGACATACACGGCCATAACTGCACAAGCCAAATGGAGACATACCAGGGAGTTCCTGGAGGCGTGGTATTCTAACTGGAACTCCATCAACAAACACATTGAATTAGACCCGGTGTACAAACCACTGAGAAACAGAACCTGAAGTGTTGCCAAACGCTTCAACAAACTGAGGCATATAATTAACAAGCAGGACAGAACACTGAAGCTTAAGCAGAGGCACACTGATGATTTTACCTAGCAGGGTGACGAAATGTTTGCAACCAAACCCACTGGTTAGGCGAGCATGTCTACAACCCCAGCTACAAATCTTCTCAAACTTTAAATATCTGCGAGTGCAACACCCTCAAACAGTTTAAAAGACATTTGGATAAGTATATGAATAAGAAATGTTTGGAGGGATATGAGCCAATTGCAGGCAGGTGGGACTAGTTTAGTTTGGGATTATGTCCGGCATGGACTGGTTGAACCACAGGGTCTGTTTCTGTGCTGTAAGACTCAATGATGCTATAACAACAGCAAATGCTGGTGAATGATAAAGAGATTGAAGATTTAGGACTGAAGTGAGGAGAAATGTCTTCATTTAGAGGGTTGCAAATGTTAGGATGGTTGTGAATGTTCCCGTGTTGAATAAAATAAAGACTGAGATTTTTGGTAACTTGGAGAATTGAGGGGTATGGGGAGCGGGTGGGAAAGTGGATTGAGGCTGCAGGTCAATGATGATCATACTGAATGTTGGAGCAGGCCCAAGGGGCTGGATAGTCTATTCCTGCTCCTCCTGTAGCAGATCTAACAGCACCTGTGGAACAAGAAACAGAGCTAAAGAATTTAGATCACTCAAAATGTTAACTATGTTTCTCTCTTCATGGATGTGGCCACAACTATTGAGTTTTTCCAGCACGTTCCGTTTTCATTCCTCGTTTTCTCACTACAGTTCTCTGTTCCCGAGCTCTCCGATGACTCCTAGCCTCCAGCCTGGCATAGCTGGCTCCTGTGGTGGTCTCCCGACTTGATGTAGCAGCATCCCGGTGTGGTGTGGTGACTCTCGGCCCTGGTGTGGCATCCTATAGGCCTGTCATGGCCTGAGCGTGGTCTCCCAGTCTAGAGGTGACACCAGAACAATTTCCCAGCCTTATGATCCTTAAGGTGAAGTCCAGTGCAGTCTGGAGCCAAGGCCCATTGTGGGCTTGAGGGTAGGTGCCAACATGGTTGGGTTGGAGGACTGTTCTGAACTATTATTTCTGCAATGCTGGACATTTTATTTCTCTATTTTCCAATATCTTGTAACTGAAGAAGTTGTACCTAGGTACCTTTGTACCTCTGATGGTACTGTAAGTTGGCATTTGGGTACATGTGACAATAAATCTAATTCAATTGAATTCAATTCAATTCATTAAAGGCCAATATGCCATTTGCTTCAACAGTTAAGATTTGCACCCTTTTAAAAATATTTTACATTCTACTCTTAGTGCCAGCATGAATAAGCTCACACATTATATGTATTCCATCTCTACCCCGTCTGTATCACTTTGCACCATCTTATGTGATTGTAAGCTTGAAGGAGAACACTTGGATGCCTTACGGTTATCTCCTTGTGTAAGGCATTAATGAAAATAATTTTAAGTAGCTGAGTCCCAAGCACTAATCTTTCTGCTACTCCATTAGTTACAGCTTTCCCACTGAAAACATTCCATTTATCTTTAGTCCCTGATCCCTAGCCCTTAACCAAACCTCTAGTAATGCAAATACATTATGCCAAACCGCATGAGATCTTATCTTGCAAATGGGTAGCAAAAACTCTTCAGCAGCATTGTTTTAAAAAGACTTTTTCCTTCCACATGAGCAGTTTTCAGGAACAGTCGGACAGCCCTGGCCTGTATCTGTTAGAGCTTAGAAGAATGAAAATCAATTTTGTTAAAACATATAAGATCCTGAGGGAACTGAGAGCATGCACCTGAAAGAATGATTCCCCTTGTGGGAGTGACTAGAACTGGGGCATGCAGATGAAAGATAAGGGGTCCCATGTTTAAAAGAGGGTGAAGCAATTCTTTTTTCTCAAAGGCTGATGGGTCTGTAGAACGCTTT